GAGCAATAAAACAAAAGGCAGGAGTCAATGTAAGAAGGCTTTGCCGGCGCGGCTCTGTGTAAGGAGCGAAATTGGCTAGGAGAGAGAAGCCCAAAGATCTGCACGGTTTTATGGGCTGGATCTGGCTTGATTCTCTCTCCCTGCTCCTCCCCCCCGCTCCTAATTGCTCACAGTCAGCCGCCTCACGCTTGCTGTCTGTCCTGCTCGCTTCTCCCAAGCATTCTGCTGCTCTGCAACAGCTGCTAGGCTAGGGACCACATTCCTGTTTCCCAGGCATCAGGCCATCCAACCTTGCAAACCATTCAGTTTCCTCCCCCACTTCTTACATATTCAGGAAGGGGAGAAACACACATAGAGGGGGAGAACAGACCACAGCTACTGCTTGAAACCCCAGCGAAAGGATCCTTTCAAAAGCATCTGTCTGTCCCTCACGCAATTCTGGAACGACTGAATCCCGCTAACAAAAGAAATCTCTCAGCTTTTAAAAACGCCCGAAAAGGTTTAAAATAAAGACTCGAGTAGCAATACCTGGGAAGGGGGGGCTTCTAAAATCTAGAAACCAAACATAAAAATCTTAGAGGTCAGTGAACCGGGGCCCAAAAACGAGGGGCTCTGGTTTTCGAACCCGAATGCCTCGCATTCTAGTCACCAGAAAAATCAGCTTACTTGGATTTCCGCTTTTTGTTACAAAAAGATAGTTTATTTCTTGTTTCTTGCCCTTTTTTTGTAATTTTCAGTCACCAAAAAAATCTATATTTTGTCACCTAAGCATTTATTTTACTGAATTCAAAAAGACATGGAAAAGGGAGAGGGGAGAGATGATGTACTTTGAGTCAGGTATATAAGTGGATTTTTGACGACATATAATAAATATGATATATCACTTAGCACGCAGTCTGGTCAACTGTACATTTCTTTTTCCGATTACGGAGCATGCCACTTTTCAATACGAAAAAAGGTCATGAGAAATCAGTGCAAAGCTCTCCGTTACCCCTGGTCTTCCGCGCGGAGTCTCGGGGGGTTGTGTTTTTCTTTGTAGCCCTCGGTCCTCCAGAGTCTCTGCTGGCTCGGGGCTGGCGCCCTCCCGCCCGCTGCCTCTCGCTCTCTCGCCTGAGAACTTGCGGCTGGGGCGCTGGATCTGTGTGTTTCACTGACTGGCTCGGCTCTGGGTTCGTGGTTCAAGAGTCCCTGCTCTGACTGAGTCGTCTCCGCGGCTGGCTCGTGTCTGCTCCTGGCCCCTTTCCTCTCCCCCGCGGCTGCTTAGCTCCTGCTTTTGGCGATCGGTTTTTTATTGGGGGGACGGGTGGGGGTTGGTGGCTGGGCCAGCGATGAGCTCTCACCGGGGGTGCGGGGTCCCCGGGATAGAGTTAGCCAAGGGGTTGAGAGCGGGCTGACCCCCGGGCCCTAGGCCGTGGATGAGTACCCGGGGCACCAGTGGCCGCTGGAGCTGGGGGTGCGGCGCTGGGGGAGTCCGGTACATGCTGCTGTACATAGCTGCAGCAGCTGCAGCCGCTGTCGTGCTGTCCATGCTGCTCAGCAGGCTCGGGTGGTAGAAATAGGGCGAGGGGAACATCCTCTGGAGAGCAGAATAATTCCCAGCTTCAGCCAGCAGCTCCAGTCCCACCGCCGTCTGCCGCTTCCACTTCGTCCTGCAAGAGAAGGAGCAACACCGGGCTAGAGTTAGCACGGAGCCATCCACCTGGCCCTGCGAGGGCTTCTCCGGGGGCGTGAGCCCCACACCGCACCTGTCCTCTCGCACCTTCTCTTTCACACGCACGCCACCCCTTGGCAAGGAGACTCACCATTAGCTAGAGCCCGAAAACAAATCAGAGGGGGGATCGAACCCAGGGCCCTGGGGCTTAGCCACACGCAAGATAAAATACAAAGGGAATGAAATTCACAGGAAAGTTTCCCCGGCTGTTTGCAGGCTTTCCCAAGCGCGGCTTTCTAAAGTCGCAAGTGTCTGTGCCTCCAAACTTTGCAGCGACACAGAATTTGAGGGACCAGCCCCCCCCCCTGCACCCTAAAAACTGAGCTACAAATGCAAACCCTCGCTGAAGCATAAAGATGCAGGAAAATCTCCAACAAAGACGGGCGAAATTATTTTAATTCTACATAGCAGGCTAGCAGAATGGTTATGGGGGGACAGTTTTTTCTACTCCCCTGACTCAATATTTCAACAATTTTGTTTCCTGGCCTTTCCCTCTCCCTTTGCCAACCTCTAGTGAAATGCCTTGTGAGCTGGTGGACACACACACACACACACACACACACACACACACACAGTAATTCCAGCAAAATTAATAAACATGGCGCCCTGTTTAGATTGGATACAAATGACACTAATGTTTTCCGACAGAATTAGGGTGGCTGAAACCGTATGTAATGAGACAGAAAATTATGGCAAAGATGACAACTGGACGTAGTTTTCCAAACCTAGTCAGCTGAGATTAGAATACACATAAAATAGCCTCTTTGGCTGTACAAGGCGGGCAAATGGAAACCAAGCATATTTTTGTTTAAACCAACACATTTTACAACTTCATTTTCTGGTCACTTTCCTAATATCACATACAGAAATCGTTGCAGAGGCCGTGATTTCTAAACCGGCTACAGAGGCACGCCAAGAGCAACACTGCATAATGAGATTTCAGTGGGATTTCTTTCCCAGTGTATTCTTGGGACACAGGAAGAATAATACGTCGCCGGCTTTGTAATCAAGATTTGTCCATTATTTATTCATATGTGTATTAGTTCATAGATAGATGGCGCGCTGTATTAATTAGCCATGCTTGAGACTACTTTGTGGACGGGTTAGATTGCCTGCACTTGACAATCTATAGAGGTTTTTCTTGGTCTTCCCTTGAGAACTACTATAGCCAATAATACTAGGTTTTTTGTTTTGCTTTATTATCGTTAATGTTACCTATCAATTTCATTTTATTTTAGACTCTCTTTATTCTAGCCTGGGCAAGGAGAGTGGATGGGTGGGGGCTGGTTCCTTTATGAAATCCACCCACACAAACACATTGAAGTGGCCGGTGTTTGCATGCCCTGTCCAGGGCTCATTGATATTGACTAGAGAGGCAGGGTGGATTTTTTCCCCCGGCCTTCGGACCGGTTAGCGCAGACTGAGTGGCAGTTCTGGTTTTAGGGACTTGGGGGAATTGTGCTCGGGGAAGGCGGAGATCCTTTTTTCTGCCCGCCTCCCTTACCTGCGGTTTTGGTACCAGGTTTTGACCTGCGTGTCGGTGAGGTTGAGAGCCGCAGCCAGGTCCATGCGGTCTTGCACGCTCAGATACTTCTGCCGCTCGAAGCTCCTCTCCAGCTGATTGAGCTGATGGTCGGAGAAGGCCGTCCTCGCCTTGCGAGGTTTCTTCGCTCGGACTGGGGGGCTGTCCCGGCTACTTGTAATCTCCCGGTCGCCTTCTTCTTTTGTCCCTACGAACAATTCATAAACACAAAGCTAGAAACAGGAGCTAAAGCAGCATCCCCAGGCCAGGCTGGTCGGGTCTGGGATTCCAGGCAAAGTCGATTTCTTTACAGAGTTGATTATCGTCTGCCTGCTGCAGTCAGGGCTCCAAGGAAATCCCTTAATTTAGCTGATGCCTTTTCGATCCTACGTCTCTAAATGGGTTTGACAGGAGGGTCTGGCGATTTCTCTTTATGCAGCCTACAAACAGTCCCCCTTTCGAAGGCAAGGTTTTCCCCCTTTCGGGTGCACTTGGGAAAGGTTAAAGCAAAGTGCAGAACAGCCAGGGCATCAGATGTGCTAATGCCTCAGACAGGATATGTCACCCAAGCACAAAGTTGAGCTCAAACTGCTCAGCACATCCAGGTGACAGCGCTAAGATTTCCGGATTCTATTTGTCAACTTTGGTTTTTTTGCTAAAATGCTGGGAAATCGATATGTCAATCCGTCTCTGTTTGTACCAGTTTTTGCAGCGCTCCTTGATCTTCCCTGCAGGAAGAACAATAATCTCTCTAATTGACCCACTGGGGAGGTTGGTGCACACAAAAAAAAATCGCCAGACCAGACTGTACATCTGTTTTGGGCACTCTTATGCTAATGTTAAAATAGCAAAATGAATGGCACACATGAGCATCTCTGTATTATTCATCGCACAACACTGCAAAATAGGTGAAAGGCGTAAAATTAGGAAAATGTGTCCTCTCACCTCATAGTTTAAACTGTGCCTCGTGCAAAGCCATTTTGCAGAAAGCAGCGAATCCTTCGGCATTAAGAAAAGAGCTTTTAAAATAACAGCTATCTTTTTAATATAACCTCCACTCCCATACACACACTTCTATGTATATTTAATCAGGAAATATTGCACGATTGCAGACTCTGTAGGTGTACAAAATGCTAA